ATCCTTTGTCTGGAACATTTTGTTGCCTTCCATAGAATGGAGCAGTTATCTGATTGTTACCAGACTCCTAGAAAGTCTAGAAGGTGCCATCCCAATACTTGGTGAAGTGGGTGATCAAAACCATTCCTTCATGTTATTTCTAGAATTGCTATTGTGAGCAATTTCTATATCCACTTTCCTCCATTGAATGCCTGTCCCAAAGATATGTTGGATAGTGACATGATACTAGTTAATTGTATTAATGCAGTACTGTTGAATTGATGTCTGTGCTAGGTATGATACCACTTTGACACAAGAATACTTTTCTTGTCAGCTTGAAACAACTTTTTTCCATCAGTAAGTTTGTTGCATGCCCCTGTATGTGATGCAAAGAGACTACAGTAGATAATTGTGATTATTTTAGTGATAATTTATGCATTCACGCAACCTTCCTTCCATCTCTGTACAGGTGTCCCTTTCCTGCCCTTGGTACTGACTAGATGCATAATCATAGCAGTGATCTTAGAACTGAGAAGGAAGGCACTAGAACACCATAGTCATATATAGCTAGGGAGGAATAGATATGGGGTAGCTGTAAGAAAATTTTCTCTAGAACATTCAAAATAATTCTTTACATAATGTTATTACTTTTGCTTTCCAGACACCTGTATATAGTTTTATTCATCCTGTGAATACACTTGGGATCTTTGAATGTTGTCAGTGATGTATCTAGACAGATTAGTCCCAGGAGATGGATTAACACCAAGCTGTTTCTCAAGAAGGATTTTATTGAACACACAGGAAAGAAGCTAAAAGTAGTAGCAATTTTTAGAAAAACAAATTTTATTAGGAATAATTTATCTCTTAGATGCCAGTGCCTGATCCATACTAAGCATCTGAAATAAAATATTGTTAATAAAATATTGCTTCATATCCCAAGTTTTAGTTATAAAGGAAAAATGGTTTAAATGGGTAAACTTGATATAAGAGCAGAACGTGTGGTGTTCCTAAATGTAGAACACGGTTATGTGGCTGGTGTGGACTATAGATGGGCATGAACCATGGTTCAGCCCAGTTCGGCACCATGCCCATACAGGTGTTCCACGAGCTCTGCACGCCTCCCTCCCCCACCTCCTCTGGGCAATCACCCACTCACCAGCAGCAGTGCACCACCTCCTCCAGGTGATTGCGCACTTACCAGCCGCAGCACCGGCTTCCCTTCCCTGCCTCCTTGATTGATTTGATGATCAGCAGAGGAAGGAAGCATGCTGCTGCCAAGGAGGCAGAGGAGGGAAGCATGCTCTTGTTGGTGAATGGGTGACCACATGGAAGAGGCAGAGGAGGGCAGCACGTGGCACCCACGGAACACCTATGCAGGTGCGGAACCAAACCAAACTGCAGTTCATGCTCATCTCTAGTGTGAACTGTAAGTAGCTGGATTCTAAACCAAGGAAGTAATGAAGGGTTGGCTTGTTCAGGGACTTCTGAGTCAAGAAGAGGAATAAATAAGCATGAAGGGAAATTGGGGAAGAGAAGGAAGCTCAAAATACAGCTGGGCAGGGAAGTTGTGCCAACCCTTATAAGTGCTTGAAGTCTGCTAAAAACAGGTACACAACCATGTTTGTGAATGCCCATATGAACCACACTTACAAGGAAGGAACCTCTTTATTCTCATTGCTAAGAATTAACCACCAGTCTTCACATCCATTTACTACTTCTTGTTTGAAATTGAATATCATGGATATTTCTGAAAATGAAAATATTGTGCCAGAATCATACATTCTCTATAAGGTGTGCTATCCTTGAATCAGTAGGAAAAAATATTCTCTGGGAAAATGTGAAAGGTAAAGAAGATAACATTGCTCTTTTGGAACAGTAATCCAGACATGTGACATAAAAGCTTGTTTCTCTCTACAGTTGTCCATCAGTTTTGCCAGAATTTAGCACAGAGATCACTTCCCAAAATGTATATAAAATTATTATCATGGATTACCAGTGTGTTGATGAACAGACTCTTATTTTCAAAATGGCATTTATTTATTTATTTATTTATTCATTCATTCATTCATTCATTCATTCATTCATTCATTCATTCATTTATTTATTTAGCTTATATGCCACTCACTCTACCCAAAGGTCTCAGGGCGGCTTACAACAATTGAAATACAATAAAAGATAAAACAATTAAAATAGATACTCTAAATTTTATGTTATGTCTGCTTATATATTCAGTATGAGTCTACTTTATGTTTTTTCATGTTTTCAATTATATTCTCAGCCCATTCCTTATGACAATATGGAAACAATCCCCCTTTTATCTACGACTACCCTGCATACCATATACATTTAGTTTTTGCTATTAAATTATATGTTACAAATACAAGGAAAGGAACACTATATCTAAGCAAAAAGGTAGCTGGGACAAAGTTAGTGCTAAACATAAGCAATTCAATTTTTTTCTTTTGAATGTAGTACTAATTGCAAGTGTTTGAATGCAGTGTTCTATGTTTAATGGGAAAGGAAATAAAGTGCATGTACTGTACTCTATAATCTGTGCTATTTCTAAGATATCTTTATGAGTTGTTCATTTACAGACAGTGTAGGAAATTTGATGAGGGGAAAAAGAGGTTTAAACTGTGGGGACTCCATACAGGAAGTACTGTAAATACTTCAGAACAATAATTAAAGACTAAAATCAACTGTAGACAGAGTAAAAATATTCACCAAACATGTCTGTTCCTAAAATATCTGTTAGTCTTGGTATTCATTCAACATGTGTCTTGAGAAGATTTTGAAATTGAACAGAAGGTAGCAACATGTTGCTACTTCAAATAGATCTATATGCAAATCTTTTATTAGGTTCATGAAAAACTTCAGTCCCAATCAATTATCATTTTTGTTTTACACTATTGTTTGTTTTATTATTTGTTTGGGTGTTTGCCTTTAGCTTGTTCATTGCCCAGCATAGTGCATATACATTGATGAGGTGGCACAGAAGTAAGCAAATAAACATTTTTCAGAGCATTACTTTAATGTATTGGTGGAGATTACTGTTGATAAATCAATATTTTATAGGGGTTGCATATTGATATTTCTTCCACCAATTTTTACACCTCCTTCTCTGGATCTAATTCGCTTTCCTTATGATATATTTTGTGTATGAGCTAAACAGACAGGGAGATAAAATACACTATTTAATGTCACATTTGCCTGTGGGACCCTAGTGTGTCACTGGCCATTGTCTGTGAAAAATCCTCCACCGGTGTCACTTCGAACTATTGGTGCTGCCAAGCAACTGCTCTGCTTTGATTTTTAAAATACAGGAACATGAACCAAAGATGGTTGTTGTGTGTTTTTCGGGCTCTTTGGCCGTGTTCTGAAGGTTGTTCTTCCTAACGTTTCGCCAGTCTCTATGGCCGGCATCTTCAGAGGACAGCAGAGCACAGAGTGCTGTCCTCTGAAGATGCCGGCCACAGAGACTGGCGAAACACTAGGAAGAACAACCTTCAGAACATGGCCAAAGAGCCCGAAAAACCCCCAACAACCATTAGATCCCGGCCGTGAAAGCCTTTGCGAATACAATGAACCAAAGACCTAAAAATAAGATTAGAGGCACTTTCTTATTCATTTCTTCAGTAGGTAGTGCTTATGTATGTACAGTATAACATATCTTCTTTTATAATTGAATGCTCAGACAAATGTGCTTATGTGTGTGATTGTTATGAATCCATATCAATGCAGCTTTCATCACTAATCTGTCTTTGAGAAGCGGATTTTCTTCCATTTTTTTCATAATCAAATTGAACCCCTCTTTCCTATTCAAACACTTGATTGCTCCTTAGATTTTTCTCTTCCTTGCTGTTGTTTCTCTTTTGCATCACTTTTGCTTCCTATAGAGCTGTCTGTACTCCTGCTGTTTCATGTATGCTGACTTTTTTTAAAGAAAAGAAAAGCCGTTAGGTATTTGTACAAAATTCAAACATAAAGATGGGATAATACCTTTATGATACTACTAAAATGTCACAAACATAAGCTAACTTTTGAGCCCACATGGGTCTTCATTAGGCTGGTCACTACAGAGCTGTGAATGGTGCAGGGGAAAAAATTCCGAAAATCATGGCCAGATATCCTGGCCAGGTTCCTATGTTAAAAGTAAACATGGACTTTTTTGAGAAGTGCCTCTTTACCTGGCTTGTGCAGAGCAATGACCTGATCATACAGTAAATGTCCATGTTTTCTCAATAGTATTTTAGAGATGGAAAAGTACTGGTGGGCACCCACTTGGAGGCAGCAGCCTGGCTTCCCTGCCCTGCTTTCTTCAGGCACGGCCCCTGAGTGGGCACCTGCTGGAGGAAGTGGGGCTTTAAAGCACCAAACACCTGTTCAGCCATTAACAAACTAGCAGAAACCACCAAACCAGCATTTCAAAGGGGGGCGCTCAGCACAGGTTCAACCCCACTAGTGTGAAGGCATGGAAGACTCAAAACAACAAATGTTTACAGTTATTTTAGGTACACCTATGCATACATAATGTATAAACCAATATGTAGGTATAGATGTATCTAGAATAACTGAAAATATCCCAATTAGGGGTTTTATGTAAAATAAACTGAAATGTTAACCTTGTTTATGAGTAAATGCTACACTGTGGAAATTACTCCATGGAAGTTTACACTCACACAGGGATAAATATCACAGGTAGCATATAATTGCTAGCTGTGTGTCGCGGTATATTGCCTTATATTCTAAGAATAAATCTGAGAATGCCTTGTACATCATAAGTAATATAAACTTTGCAAATTCCTTTTTATGTTGATTGAGCTAATAGATTACTCACACTGCCATATGGATTTTAAATCCTGTCTCATTCACAAGAAGATTGCATAACTAGTGTATGATTTTGTAAAGCAAAGTTCACCAGGTTCTTCTAAAGAAAGCTAAAAGTTAGCCAAATGTAATGTTAGTGTTGCGTTCTCAGGAGTGGTAAAAGAACATCTAACAGGCATTTGTAATTTTTGCAGGTAATAGCTCTAGCAGATGCAGCAGAAGAAAATCAAGCCAGTATGTTCCAGGCATTCACAAAGTTAAAAAGTGCAACCCAGCTGGTAATTCTGCTAATCAGCTTGTGGCAGAAATTGAGTGCTGACCAAGTTGCTATTCTGGAATCTGCATTTTTACCATTAACACAGGATAATCAAGAGCTGGTAAGAATCTGCTTCATTTACTTAAAATCTGGAAAAACATTAAATGAGTTCCAGCATGTTCTGTGAGAAGTAGTGATTTTTTTTCAGAGAATCCTTTTAGGTATGAGACAGGCATTTCAAATGTTTTGCTGATCTGTACTTAATATTATCCTCTTTTGGCCATTTCAGCTGTAATTTCTCCTTGGATTGACTTTATGTGTATCAGGATGTTCCTGCTATTAAGGAAAGAGCAGCATGCTGCTTCAGGCACCAGATATGGGACAATACACAAGGGCCACTCATTTTCAGTTATTTTTGTTGAGAGGGAGGGGGCACAATTTGTATCCCCCCCCCGAGAAATAGAATACCATGTCCAGTTCTGATGTGCTTGTAAAATCATTTCCTAATAAATACAAATATCCACAGTTTATGTCTGGGTGTAATGGAAATTAATTATTTCTGCTAACCTGAGAGAATATAGAAAGAAAATGTCTTTCATTTTCCACTAAGCAAGTGCCATCCTGGCCATTCTAACAGGATACGTGTTAGACAGAAAGGCAATTTGCAGGTAGGGTGGGGTATAGAGAAAAATTGCTAAGGTAGAGAGAAGAAGAAAGGTACCAGAGAGGGAAGGAAACAGGCACAAGATTGTTAATTTACAATTTGAAAAAAATCTACCTGTAATTCAAGTGGATTGTCAAGAATTTGGTTGCCAGCAGGTATTTAAAAGGTGTATTGTCAAATACCATGTTCTAAGAAAAAGACAATGTCAGGAAGATGAAGTTGCTGTGTTCCAGGAAGAGAATGGCACTAAAAGGAAGTGGCAAACTTAAATTTATTATTATGGTAACCATAGGTGAGCAACGTTAAATATACAAGATTAAAATACAATAGCTAAGCATATAATATTTACAGTCAAAACAAATAAAAGTTGTGGTTGAGTGTGTGAATTCCTAATCTAGTCAGTGCAGTGATTTAGTCATCTGTTTTCTTACTATACATGCCACTGCACAAAATTTTGCAATTGTGGTTCTAAAGGTTGAAAGGCTATAACCTTTCCTTGAGGAATCAGAGAGAAATTTAAAATTTGTCATATCTACCTAGATAATGTTTTAGAATTGGAGACATAAGTAGATTACAGAAATCTTTATAAAATGTTCAGTAGACTAGGGCATATTCCACAGTTTCTATCATGCCTAGTTGGCCGGGGAAAAATGTTGGTTGTAAGGGATGTGTGAATGTCTTCCCTCTATACAGGCTGAAGGCAAAGTAATGAAATGGGCCAGGGAGAAAAACTCTCTGGTGTCTGTTGTTGTTGAGTGCCGTCAAGTCAGAACCAACTATAAAGACCCCACATAAGGCTTTCAAGATAAGTGAGATATTGACCAGTTCCACTCCCCAAGAGTTTCTGTGGCTAAGTGAGGAGTTGAACCCTGGTCTCCAGAGTCCTAGCCTGTTATTCTACCCACTATACCAGAGGTTGTCAACCCCCGGTCCGCAGCCCAGTGCCAGTCTGTGGCCTGAGCCAGACCGGGCTGCGGAGACAGACCTCCCACCCCCTTGCATGCACTCCCCTCCCTGCAGCTGCTTTGCGCACGTGTATGCCAGCACTGGCGTGAGTGCTCCCCCACCCCTTCACACATGCGCGGGTGCACGCATGAAGGTGTGGGCAGGTGCATGGACGGGCGCTTCTGCGCATGTGCGAACGGGTGGGGGAGTGCACATGGTGCTGCTGTACTCCCCCACCACTTTGCGAATGCACCCGAGAGTGTGCACACATGCACCCAAGAGACCATGTGCGTGGGTGCGTGCCCCGCCTTCCTCAGAGGCTCAGACGGTCCACAGTCCCAAAAAGGCTGGGGACAGCTGCACTACACCACATCTTTAAAGGATTTCCCTGTGTTCTCTGACATCTTCCAAGTGATTGTACCAAACAAAAAGTGTGTACACCAACAGCCAGCAGTGCCTAGGTATTAGAAAATACAGTGGTGCCTCGACTTATGACCATAATCCATTCCAGAAGATAGATGTAAATCGAAGCACCATTTCCCATAGGAATGTATTGAAATATGATTAATCCGTTCCGGCCAAAGGAAAAAAAATCACCAAAAAAATCACTCCAAGACTCATTGGAAACGGCGATTAATCCCCTCTGGCTGAAGGGGGGGAGAAGAAAAGCAATCAAGCATGCAAGAACCATCGGAAATGCACAGAAAACAAATGGAGCAGATCGGAAATGCACAGAGAACAAAGGGACCAGGTCAGAACTGCAAAGAAAATGAAGGAAACAGCAAGGGAAGCATGCAAGACCCATCAGAAATGGGGAACCCCAAAATCAACCAAACCCCCCAAGACCCATCAGAAAATGGGGGAACCCCAAAATCAACCAACCCCCCCAAGACCCATCAGAAAAGGGGGGAACCCCAAAATCAACCAACCCCCCAAGACCCATCAGAAATAGGGAAAAAAACCCAAAAAGCAACCAAACCCCTAAGACCCATCAGAAATGGGGGGGAGCCAACAAACAAACAAATCCCCAAAGACCCATCAGAAATGGGAAAAAAAACCCAAAAATAACCAAACCCCCCAAGACCCATCGGAAATGGGAAGGAAACCCCCAGAATCAACAAAAAAACCAAGACCCATCAGAAATGCGGGGAAATGCCAAAAAACAAACAAACAAAAAAACTCAAGACCCATCAGAAATGGGGGGAAATGCCAAAAAACAAACAAACAGCAAAACTCAAGACCCATCAGAAATGGGGGGGAAAACCCAAAAAAGCAACCAACCACCCCCAAGAACCATCCGAAATGGGGAAGAACCCAACAAACAAACAACCCCCCAAGACCCATCACGGCACAGAAACATAAACCCCCCAGCCCAAAACCATGCTGCACCTAAAACAGTATTTAAAAATAAAAAACAGCACCTTACCTTACCTAACTGGCAGCCAGAAGCCTCCCTGCAAATACACACACACACACAGTCACTCAGAAGCAGAAGCGAGGCAGTCCCAAGCCTCCGACTACGACGCAACACTCTCTAACTGCTGGGGCGACAGAGCTACAAAGAAGCAGCCTTGTCACCACCTATAGTTAGCAATTGAATTTCCCGCCTTTTTTCCTTGCCTTTTTCTGTTTGAATGTTGAAGCTGTGGTCGCAAGTAGAAGCAAAATTTTGCAGTCGAGGCACCACTGTAACTATAATGTGCATACTGATTGAATCCTGAACAGTAGGAATGCCAAGAGCAGCAAACTGCAGCATGGCATACCTAGTACTGTGAACAGTGTGTGCCATTCTCTCTGATTTAAAGGGGACTTCAGGGAATGGAAAGTTGACTTGAAGGAAGATAGGTTTTTTTGCAGGTCTAGGTTCCAGGCTTGAGCAGTATGGATTGACAGTGTCCCCTGCATGAGAGAACGTTCTCTCATTGGGCACACTAGTTGGTGGGCAAGCCTACTGCCACCTTGGCCAGATGTTTCCAGACTTCTTCTCAGCCTGATAAGACAAGGGATTGGTCTTTTTTGGCTTGCAGGGCTCCTGCATATTCACCTCTACCTCTGCCTGTGCCATGTTCTTCCTCCAGGGTGGTGTCTCTGGAGGACAGGCCCCTGGCATGCCTGTCAAGACAGTGTTCCAGGTAGCTTGCCCTGTTATTGCAGGGGTGAGGGATGTAGACTCTAAAAATTCAACTGCTGGTTTGGGGTACTGTGAACATTGTTAATTTCTTCCTGCTCTTTGTGACCTCTCAGTGTTAGCTGGACTATTTTCACTAGGTGGTGCTGCATGTGATGGAAAGTTGGCTAGCATTGCCTCTCTTGTTGCTGCTTAATATTCATTGCCCACTGTTTAATCTGAGGGTTCAAGAGGGTTGCTGGAAAGTACTCCTTCTTTCACAAGGAGGCAAATCTGTACTGGAGCAGGTCCTTGAGCTTGCAGGCCGGGACCACCACCTCACCTTGGAAAAAATGCTGCTCTCCTCCTGTGGAATCCCTCATACACCTAGACTGTCCCTTCATTATGCCCTCCATCATGCCAATCAAGTCCTAGAACACTGGAATCACCTAAAATAAGGATGGCTGTATCCCCACTAAACAGCTGTGCTGCACTCACAACACTTCAGAGGACGTAGCCCACTTGATCCATAATGCCCCACTCTTCTTTGCCCCGAGGGGCAGCCACACCTATGGAAGCCTCCAGTGCCAAATCATAGAGTGCCCTTGGCTGCTCCAGCACTCTTTCAAGGAGTTAGAAAGTGGAGTTCCATCAAACTGCCATATCCTAGATTAGGTGATGAAGTGCCAATCCCAATTTTTCTTGCCTCGGCTGCAACAGCTCACTGCCCTAGACAGACACTGTGCCTTGCCTCTTTTCTGGCTCATTTAATTATATTAGCTATGCATGTGTTTTCCACACCCTTCAAAGCACCCCAAACTACTAAAATTATAGTATGGCTATACACCAGACCCCTTTCATCTTCCCAGCCTGCAGTGTCGCCACTATGTTTGCCCCATTGTCTGTGATAAACAGACCTTGCTTTTCTGTAATGAGACTCCATCGCTGTAACAGAGGCTCTGGAATGTTATGAGCTGTCTGACTCGCCTCCATCATAGCCACATTCAGTAGGGGCCATCTGTATCCTGCCCTTGTGTGTTGCCCCATGCCTGATGCCTCTACCTCCCACCAATGTCCGGTCAGGTAGAGATAGGCATGTTCTGCACCTGAATGCTCCAGATGTTACTTGGAATATGTACCACCTGTGCCCTGGCCATCTTCTGCTGTACCACTTGCCTGACACTTCAGTAGAAATCTGGCACTATCCTGTGGCTAAGGATCATTTCGGATTGCAATTGGTAATCGGGTGCCAGTTCTGCTGCAAACTTATGGAAAGCAGCATTCGCCACTAAAGAGAATAAATTGGTCATCTAGGACTGTAATCTCCTCTAGGCAACAAATAATCCTGGCATTTTTACATTTGCAGAAGGTCTTTTCCTGCACCTCTTGCGAGCTCCTCCAGTGC